AGTATATTATCACCTAAATTATTTTGAACTATTTACATCACTGAGTATTTTAAATACATTTTTATTATCACATTAGTGGTATTGCATTGTGTTACACTGACAATGTATTTCTGCACATAATTGTAACAGTTATTTATTCTTTGTTTTTTTTTTATATATTTAATATACAGTATTTTCTGGCGTATAAGACTACTTTTTATACTTAAAAATATACCCCAAATATTGGGGGTCGTCTTATACGCGGGGTATAAAATGTGAACCTTGAGTTTGTTTGGGTCAAGCTGGCTGTATGTGTGGTAATACTGTACATACAGTATACCGTGCTGAGCCAAGCTGGCTCAAAACAAATGTCCTTATGACAGATTAATCTGTCAGCCTGCTGGATGTGCGGTATATACAGTATACTGCGCTGAGCCAAGCGGTTTCAAAACGTACCGGTACGTCCCTACTGTAATCAGCCCGCTGGATGCATGTATTTACGGTAGCTGCGGCTACATACAGTACACACTGGGCCAATCACAGCGAGTGATGTATTCAACTAATGAATACAAAGCCTGCACGGATTGGCTGAGTCAGAGAGGTGGGCTGATGATGTCACAACCTCAGCCAATCTGAGCAGGCTTTGTATTCATTAGTAGAATACATCGCTCACCGTGATTGGCCCAGCGTATACTGTATGTAGACTCAGCTACTGTACATACACACATCCAGCGGTCTGATTATCGTAGGGACGTACCGGTACATTTTGAAACTGCTTGGCTCAGTATACTGTATATACCACGCATCCAGCGGGCTGACAGATTAATCTGTCATAGGGACATTTGTTTTGAGCCAGCTTGGCTCAGCACGGTATACTGTATGTACAGTATTACCACACATCCAGCGGGCTGTATATATACTGTATGTAGCCGAAGCTACCGTATTACTGCACATCCAGCGGGAATTTGATCCATATGATGACTGTCTTACAAATGTATCAAAAGATGTCATTCATGAACTTATGATATCAGAGGATGAACATGAGGATTTTGAAGCATTTTAAGTACCGGTAAGTCAGAACCATTTCAATTAAAAAATCTGATGTTTTTAAATGGTGTTGCCTTGGAAGCGGGGTAGTCTTATACGGTGAGTATAGCCCAAAACCTATGTTTTAACTGGAAAATTAGGGGGTCGTCTTATACACCCACTCGCCTTATACGCCGGAAAATACGGGTATATTTTTTATTGGAGTAAGTGTTTATGAGAACACGATCACGATCCCCAGGGCTGATACTCTTTGGGATTTTTATACATTGTATACTTTATATATATCTATCTATATATATATATATATATATATCTATATATATATATATATATATAGATGGGTTTATTTTAATATGTTTCAAGTATTTGTTTGTTTGTATTATTTGTTGCATGGATGTAGGGACACTGTATTACTTGTCTCCTCTGCCTCCTTGCTAGCTGTGGTTGGGCAGTTGTGTGATGAGTGTGTGTGTGTGGGGGGGGGGTTGATCAATATTACAACTAGCGTTACAGGTCACTTCAAATGATGGGAACAACTACAGGTAGTACTTTGTTCTATGGGAAAGTGGTGTAAAGGAATTTGAAGCGACAATTCATCTTTAAAGCAAAAGTAGACTCCAGCAATAAACTTTGCTGATTTGCTCCATTTTGGTCTTTTAAATATAACATTGAAAGTATTTTATTATATCAGTTTGATAAGTGCAAAAATACCTTGATCCTGCCAGAAATCCAGTGAGATCTTAATGTCCTGTAACGAGGTGACTATGCTGCACAAAAATTTCAAACATTATTATCCCTCTTGTTTTTTTTTTTTTAATTCAAATATTTATTTATTTTCCATATAATATAATATACACATTTCTTCATTATTTTCATACATAAAAAATCATTTTCCAAACCCTTAATACTTTTCTTCCTGTAATTTATTCCCTCTACCTCCCCGGACCTTATCTAAAACCCCACCCTCCCACCTATAGTACCCCCATTTCCCATTTATAAACCCTCCCACTCTGCATAATTCTATTAACTCTTTTCCTAAATAGTATATACAAGTTCTTCCTCCTCTTTCTCATTACTACTTCTTAGATCTCGCTACAAAGTCTTCCCATTTTCTCCACTTCTTATAAAATAGCCCCATCTTGTCTTCTTGTGTATAATATAGTTTCTCCATCTTACATATCTGATTTGTTCTCTCTACCCAATCCTCCTCCCTCGGCATCTCTGGTCTATGCCAAAACCTAGGAATCAGACCTTTTGCCGCGTTCAAGTAATGCCATACACCAGAGTCCTTATATCTATTTACTGATAGATCTGTACTATGTAGTAGACATACCTCTGGGTTCAATCCTATTTTTATCCCAGTAATTATCTCAATTAATTGGACTATTTTCTCCCAGAAGGCTTGTATCATTGGACACTCCCACCATAAACATTGCTGACGAAACGCAAAGGGTGGGGCTTCCAGTACACATAATTTCTGTTTATTGGAATGCAAGTGAAATGCTCTGTGGACTACAGAGGGATCATGAGATGGGGAGGTGTAATGTAGTCCTGCCCTAGGGTCACAATTCCATATACACAGCATGATAACTGAGCATTGTCATCCTACGAAAGGAACTGTGTTACTGGCAGGATCACCAGGAAAAAAAAATCACAAAAAAGAAAACTACTGCAGCCACCACATCTAAGGGCTGGTAAGCTGCAAAATATAACATTTTTGTTTTCAGGTTGTAGATAAACTTTATTTCCTTGTGACCATGTTAGTGCAGATTGGGATGGATCTTAGTATTCCACGCACAGTAAACAGCAGGAGGAAGCTTCTGTTGTTGTTCACAAGATCCTTTCAAGAAAAGGAAATTCTTTTATACTATCACACAGAGGGGTCATGATACGCAGATAGATTTACTTTAATACAGAAGCTTTTGGCTGTATATATATGAAATTATGCATTTGGCGCCTTTACATAAACTGGTATTCAACAGCACTGCCTTTTAACAGTACAGTAGTGCGTGTTTAAGAAATCAAATGTTAGTAGACTTTGCCATGAAAGAGATCATTATGATAATATTGGCGATCATAATTTGGCACATAGCGGGTTCATAACACAAACTACGCAGTTCAAACCCAAACTTCCCATTTACATATTTGATGTAAAAGCATTGCCTCATTCCCAACACATCCATTGCCTTTCCTGTGCTTGTAGGGTGCAATAATCTGGGGTATAATTTGTATATATTTAGAAAAACTCAGTAGTGTTCCTAAAATTGTCTTCGGAAAAAGAGTTTTGCATTTATAAGCATGTTTGAAGCAAATGTGATTATTATTTTTTTATTCTTGATGTGAAAATCACTGCTAATTAGTTTTGATTAAGTAAAGCATACCCTTTGAAAATGAGAGACAAGTTCCCTTTGCCCTCTAATGAATAGTCTGTTATTTACATAGTTAATTTTAATAACCTGGAGCATTTTATCCATGGGGCTAAGTCATTAGAGAGATCCTCGTTGGAAGCAGTCTCTATATTTACTAATATTCTCTGCAAGCTCACCCGGAATTAAAGATTTTTTTTTTATCCTGCAATATTGGCAGCACACAATCGTATAGAGTATAACCCCGCTGGTTTATTGGCTGTTTAATAGTACAAAGTATGATCATGTCCTTATTACTTTTGTATCACTTGCCCTTCCCTTTTAGATTGTAAGCTCTTATGAGCAGGGTCCTCCTAACCTAACCTTGAATTGTATTGTAACAGTTTTTACTGTTTATTTTGTACAGCGTTGCACAAACCGTTGGTGCTTTATAAATCCTCTATAATAATATAATAATGTCAGTTTATAGGCTTTTAATACCTCTAGTAATATTTGTGTATATAGGAACGATTATATCTAATGCTTTTAAAGGTTTACTGCTTATTTTCCTATTTTCTTACAACATTAGAAGGTAGGTACTTCTGAGGATTTTCTGATCTTGTGCTGGAAAAGGTTGGTTGTAACAATAGTTACACATGTTAAAGTGTTTCTAAACCCACAACAGTAAAATCAGTCTGTATATGAAGTAAAGCATGCTGGTTATAGTCACTGTGGAACCTAAGGGGTTAATCCTCTGAATTGTGTTAAAAGGCTGACTTCTCTGCCCGGCTGACTTCTTTGCCCCTCCTCTTGTTCAAATGTCTATGTTGATAAGACAGACTGAACCCATAGCCCTTCTGCACATGCTCAGTTTAGTGTGTATTGCTAGAAAGGTTTTTTTTTTTCTTGGGAGAGTGCACGTGATCAGCACAGGGCCAATCAGCACTGTCCAGACAGAGGTCAGGGGCTTTTCATCCTCCTAAAGCAGAAAGAAAACTCCTCCTATAAGCTTTACCAGTGCTTAGCTGAAGTCACAAGACTGCTCTAACTGCTGATGAGAAAAAGGCATTTAGCAGTTTATATTTACTAAAATAATTGCATTTCCATGTTGTGTGTACTGTGGGGGACCAGGTATAGTGAATGCAGGGTCCGGGGTTTAGTAACACTTTAAAGCTAGGGTTAGTTTTTTTTTTTTTTTTTAAATAAATCAGCACAAATAGTGAGATTTGTTCATTGTGACTGACATTTTTGTTTAAATTTTCAGTTCTCTCTGCCCCCAACCCCAGACCCACAGTGGTCATTTTCCAGTGCTGTGGGGGGTTAAAAAACATCAGCTGAACCTGTCAAAGGCACTCATCAAATGTGCTGATAATGTCCACCTTTTCTGCGCCCCTCCTCCATGCACAGAAACTATAGCTTCCATCAATGAAAAGTGCTTTATGTATGTAAAATGAGCAGATGAATGAAAGGTCCGCCTCCTCTATTCATAGAGTAATTTGCTATAGTACAGCTTCTATGAATAGAGGTGGGGGGCAGAAAGGGTGGGCATAGTTGGAGTTCTTGACAAGGTCTATGACAGGTCCACCCGCTGTATTAACCCCGCAGCACTGGAAGATAGTCACCGGGGAGGTATGGGGATTGAGGATTTTACTGACAGCATCCATTTGTGCACAAGCTAACATACTACTTTTTTTGCACGCAATTGAATGTTGTTTTCAAAAGTTAGTTTTCATAACATTTACTGAGCTAAGAGATAATTCCCCTGCAAAGTAAACAGCATATTTACCTGTTATAAATCAACCCCATAGTCAGGGGCGGACTGACAACTCATGGGGCCCCTAGCAATAGGGGACCTTGGGGCCCCTGTGTACTTGCCCAAACTCAAAAAAGCCTATGAAAAAGGTACCAGGGGCATCTCATGGGGCCCCCTACTGACCCCGGACCCTCGGGCAGTGCCCGTGTTTCCAAATGGTCAGTCCGCCCCTGCCCATAGTTTATTTTTCTGAATTTAAGGAGTGGCTTTCCATTGTTTTTTTTTTCTTCTCATCTGCAGTAGATAGTATCTGTCCTGGGTCATGTGTATTTAGAGGACACTAAAAATTGACATATGAACTCCCGAATAAATGCTCATCTCACATTTTGTACCTGAAGTCCATGGTATTTTACGTAAACTATTCCATTATATGGGTTTCTGCACCCAGATGGGTTAACTTTAAAAACCATAACTGGGCAGTGTGTAGTTCCCTCCAATTAATTCGGAATGAGTATTACATGCACTGATATTTCCATGAATACTAATTAGTCTGATATATTGATTGAACTCTAAAAACTGCTACCAACCGGAATTTTTTTGTTAGATGACAGAAATAATGAGAAAAAATTAACCTAATTACATTTTAAAGAGGTCATATTTAGATAAAACTATTAGAGAGAGGATTGGGTTTTATTATTGTGCAGTAAAGTCAGAGATGAAGCTTCGGATTCATCGTTGATAGTTTGACAGATTTAGAATCAGACCTAACCTTTGGTTCATCATTGTGCAGTCATTGAGGTGCTAATTCACGCACTTTATTGGCCATTTATTGAAACTTTGAACAACTTTGTCATACAAGGGCATATTGTAGCCTACAGTAATGGAAGAAAGTAGTGACACGTGCAAAGGGCCTGAAACTTTGTTGCTGGTTCTTACCTACACAATATCCCTTGTTTTGTTGCTGACATGATTGAGTATACTGAGCTAAGATTTTGCCATTGAGTATGTCTCATCCCCTCTTACATCTTTTTTATACTTTGCCTAATGACATTATCCAGGTACCAATATAAGTTGTCCGCCCTCCTGATATTACCTATTTTGCTACAGCAGAGAATTACAGTTCCCAGGTTTCATCTGTAGCTGGTGCAAGTCTGTGGTAGTGCCGGACTAATAGAAGTGAGATATTGGTGCTTTTGGGTTGGACCCAGTGAGTTCTCCTTCAAAGGAGCTGTGAAAATTGTGGCTGTGCCTTGTAGAAAGAGATCTTATTCTAGTCATGGGTTGCTAAATCTCTGATGGTCTCAAGAGAGGACTTACAGTAGGACTTACAGTAGAAATCAAAGCTTCGGGTGAGTGATGAGGAGTGTCCAGTTTAAAAATTCATGACACTTCATGAACTAGTTTCAGTACAAATTTCTATTTGACAAAAAGTATCAGGAGCAGCCAAGGTGCTTTGAAAATGTCTCCCCCTTCATCAGGGTTGGAATAATGGATGAATTGGACTAACAGTAAATAAGAGAAATCCCCTTTTTTGTTAAATAAAAAAATAAAATTTTATATTATATATATATATCACATACTCCAAACAATGGTGGTGTTGTGTGACTTTTTTCTTGGATTTTCACCATATATTATTTGTTATAGTGCAGTGCCAAATCATTGTTTTGGACTAACAGTAAATTGTGATTATGATACCTGTGATATTAAGCTTAATTAGACCTGTCAAATCTGTTAGCTTGCCAAGCCTGATGAAGGGGGAGGCATTTCCCCTAAAACATGTTGGCCTCTCATGATACTCTTTGTCAAATTAAATTTTGGACTGAACTTGTCATGAACTTTTATACTAGGTTCCCCCAAAGCTTAGGTTTTCGTCTGTAGGTAACATTTTTTGATTCAGATGGATTTTAATTATTGCTACAGTTGAAGGGTGAGAATCAAGTAACACTTATCAGTTAAAAGTATAGCATAACTCCACAGCATCCAGAAGATTACAGTCCCAGTTTAGAAGCTGCATATCATTTAAGTTAGAATAAAACAGCTCCAGACAAAAATACAGAAATACCCCTTAGTTCAATGATGTATTCTTCATAAAATCTGGCTTATCTGGCTTTAGAGTGATATACTGCATGCTTGCTGAAAATTTAGGCTTGTAGTGGAAGTCACTGCTCTGTAAAAAGATGGGTTAGAAACAGGGGCGGACTGACAACTCATGGGGCCCCCGGGCAATAGGGGATCATGGGGCCCCTGTGTCCTCGTCCACACCCAAAAAAGCCTATGAAAAAGCCATTGAAAGGTACCAGGGGCATCTCATGGGGCCCCCTACTGACCCGGGCCCTCGGGCAGTGCCCAAGTGCTCCTATGGTCAGTCCACCCCTGGTTAGAAATGAGGGCACTTAGGTGAGATTACGGTATTGAGCTCATGGAGAGCATCTTCAGTGAGGCGATGTTCATTTGTCCATCTAGACCTCATATTTCAGCTGTGAACAGGCTCTGGAGGGATGTCTATGCTTACTCTATCCACCTACTGCGACAAACACAAAAGGCTCTCATTTTCAAGATTGAATTCCAGGCCCATTCACACCAGATGAAGTAGGATGCATTTATGACTGCATTTCAACTGCATGGACAGTCCAAAACCCAAGTTATCTTATGGGCATAGTTCACACCATTACAGTGCAGTGAAGTACAGTAAAAAAAAGTACAGCAGGTTGCATTTTTCTGTACCACTGATGAGCAAAAATGAGCACAAACACATGTAAGTGTGTGCAAATGCACTTCAATGCATTTCAGTGACCGTAAAAGGTCAAATGAAAAGAAAGAAGAAAGAGAAGACCTCACTGGACAAATGCGGAAGGAGAAACTAAATGTAAACATGCATAAGAACATTATATGCAGGCAAATGTGCATGAAAAATGTGCAGCAGACATGCAGGTTCTGGTGTGAATGGGCTCTAACTTTACAAAATAGAAAATGCAGCAGGAGATGCAAGTCACTCTTACTTGGTTTTATAATTTATTTTTTTTTATTATGTGTTTCTCAATCTTTGTTTGACTTTAATTTTTTAAATGGTTCTAAAGCCTTAAGGTTTTTTACCTTAATACATTTTCTGCATTAAAGATTAAAAAAACCTGTTAGTGGGATCCCCCCAGCCCCGCCTTACCTACCTAAACCTGATCTTGATCCAGCGCTGTGAATGAGAGCAGCGGCTCTCTCGGTTCTCGTTGTCCTCACAGAGCAGATCGATAGCAGTGGGAGCCATTGGCAATCAAAGCCAGTGACAAGGAAGCAGGGTTCAAGTCCCACTGTCTGTGTCTATGGATGCAGGCAGGGTGGCTCGGGAACAATTCTGCATGAGTGCCTCCATAGGAAGCAGCTTCCTATGGGGGCACTTGCTGAAGAGGAGAAGCCAAGAGTGCTGGTGGAGGGACCCAAGAAGAGGAGGATCGGGGCTGCTTTGTGCAAAACCATTGCACAGGGCAGGTAAGTATGACATGTTTGCATTTGCAATAAAAAAAATAAAAAGCTTTACAATCACATTAAGAAGGGCTGAGGTAGCTTATTAGGAAAACTTCAGATTGCTAAATATCTCCTAGTTTTGCCATTCTGGGAGTAGGATCACACTTGGTACAGGCACTTTTATATGCAACCATATACAATTCTGAGAATAGTGTTTTGTGGTAGAACAAACAAGTAAGAGGCCCCCCTCCCTAGATGGGGGAGTTTTCGTAATGTGCAGTTTCTGTGACTTGCCCATACCATGTGAACCTCTTTTTCAAGTTTTAAATTGATGAGTTGCTTCACATTTCTATTGTTTGTTGTGTTAGCAAAGGGAAAATGGACAAAACCAGGTATATTGGCTTGGACATCTTGCTTTTTGCCAAAATTCTAAAGGAAGGTAGTTAAGTGATTAAACTTGGTAGATACCAATTATACAGTATATACAACTTCAGATCTGGATATTTTTCCATTTAAATATGGCTATATATAAAATTTCTATCAGACTTCTAGACTATTCCATCAGTCTTTATTGAATTGTAAATCAGATGTTTATTTATATATATAAGCCCTGCACCCTATGAATACGTGCTTAGCACGAAACGCGTCAGGGGGGCTACAGCATCTGGACATCTAGCCACCCCTGGTGGCCATCCTGATATCTTTGGTCAGTATTTTTATTTTAATTATATTACCTTACTTTGGAATAAAGTTCACCTATGCAGTATCATGCTATGTGGTGTCCCTTATTGGGTTCTCCTCGTGAGTGCCACCCTCCGTAGTGCCTGCCCTAGAGGTGACCCCAAGTGATGTGATTTACTGAGGAATCCTGGAATCCTGATACGGTTATGACCAGACGATGATAGTGAATGCAGCCTGAGCAGAATACGGATGACCATATGTGTGCCTGATGATACAGGAGTTCTCCTATATGCGTAATTTATACGCACTTCTGGTGCGTGCGCATTCTGCTCATTAAATTTTGTCTATCACTTCTGGATCACACATCTACACACTAAGCTGTGACCCTACAGGATCCCTACGTTTTACGTCTCTTTACTTGGACGCTTAATTTCACTGTGATCACCACTAGTAATATCATTTATTGCACTTTATGTTTTGGAAGGATGATATAACATATTGCATGTACTATATTTATTTTCATATTTGCACTTTGCTGTTCTTATCCCTAGCGCTGCACCTATACAATTTACATATATTTCTGGAAGGTCTTCTTGGTTGCCTTTTTGGTGTTCTAGCGGCTCTATATATACATTTAATTCCCTTCTTTAGTAGCGCTCACTAGACATTTCATTTTCCATATATATATATATACTGCTCAAAAAAAATTAAAGGAACACTTTTTAATCATAGTATAGCATCAAGTCAATTAAACTCCTTGGGTTTTGATCTGGTCAGTGAAGTAGCAGAGGGGGTTGTTATTCAGTTTCAGCTGTTTTGGTGTTGACGAAATTAATAACAGGTGCACTAGATGGACAACGATGAGACGACCCCCAAAACAGGAATGGTTTTATAGGTGGCGGCCATGGACATTTTTTTCCCTACTCATCTCTTCTGACTGTTTTTCAGTCCTTTGTGCAAGGAGGAACAGGATGAGCACTGCCAGAACCCTACAAAATTACCTTCAGCAGGCCACTGGTGTGAATGTCTCTGACCAAACACTCAGAAACAGACTTCATGAGGGTGGCCTGAGGTCTTCTAGCGCTGTGCTCACTGCCTGGCACCATAGCGCTCGATTGGCATTTGCCATTGAACACCAGAATTGTCAGGTCCGCCACTGTCACCCAGTGCTTTTTACAGATGAGAGCAGGTTCACCCTGAGCACGTGTGACAGATGTGAAAGGGTCTGGAGAAGCCGTGGAGAACGTTATGCTGCCTGTAACATCATTCAGGATGACCATTTTGGTGGCTAGACAGGTTAGACAATGGCACCTTGACTGCCATTAGGTATCAAGATGAAATCCTTGGACCCATTGTCAGACCCTTTGCTAGTGCAGAGAGTATGCAGGCAGTTCCTGGAGGATGAAGGAATTGATACCATTAAATGGCCCCCACGCTCTCCTGACCTAAATCCAATAGAACACCTCTGGGATATCATGTTTCGGTTCATCCGACTCCCCCAGGTTGCACATCAGACTGTTCAGGAGCTCAGTGATGCCATGGTTTAGATCCAGGAGGAAATACCCCAGGACACCATCCATCATCTCATTAGGAGCATGCCCCGACATTGTCAGACATGCATACAAGCACAAGGCGGGCCATACATTTTGAGTTGCTGCAATGAAATTTCAGAAAAATGGGCTAGCCTGCTGCATCATTTTTTCACTTAGATTTTTGGGATGTCTTTGAATTCAGTCCTCTGTAGGTTGCTCATTTTCATTTCCATCAAATGATGGGGCATCCTTACATTGCTAACACATTACCCAGTCCATATCAGTATAGATTTCCAGCATGATATTTTTCCCATTTGAGATCTGATGTGTGTTCAAAATGTTCCTTTAATTTTTTTTGAGCAGTGTATATACATATATATACATGTGTATATATATATATATATATATATATATATATATATACACACATACACCTGTATCTTAATATATATATATATATATATATATATATATATATATTTTTCCATTAGAAAACACAATGTACACTTGCCAGTAATGTCCAAAATGCTATAGAGGATTATAGCTAACTATAGTTCAAAAAGTCTCAGTATTACACACCATTACAGTCAATGAATCAGATGTTTTATTTCCATCATTAAAGCATGGATCGTAGTCCCCACTCTAGATCAATAAATATGAGACTGCACATCCCGTGCTCAACATCTTCTTCAGCCAGAGCTGAACATTTGTCATCTTCATAATAAAAGGTTTCCATTCTCTGATTAATATTTAAAAGTAATAACATGACCTCGGGTGGCGTTAAACATACCTTTAGCCTTTGCTGAGATTAGGTTCATCATGTCTTTTTTCTGAAATAATTATTCTCTGGCTCAGAACAATAGGAGATAATGCAGTTTAGCTTTATGATCTTCCCCACTTGCATTCATTGCTATCCGTTCCAGCAAGCTTTACAGATCAAAGTAAAGAGAAAAAAGCAATGTAATCCTGATAGTATATACTTGTACTATAGAACATTTACAGCAGTGGTGAACCATTAGCTTAAATCAGGACTAGGCAACCCTGGCAAGGTGGAGGTCTACCTGAACAACATAGAAAAGATCACCAGGGTTGCAGCAGGCTTCTTTTTTTTAAAGGAGGTAACCTAGCAAGGCCTTTAAAATATAAGCAAGGTTTGAAGAGTTCAGTGGTTAGTAGTATCTAAAACTGATATAAGGGATCAGTAACTCAGATTTCAGAGGCCAAGAGTAAGTAGTGCAGAGGAAAAAGCGTAAGTAATTCAGAGGACAGTAGTATGTAACGCACAGTGGTCAGGGGTCAAAAGTAAATGACGCAGAATGTAGAGATCAGTACTATGTAGCGCAATTGCAGGGGTCAACCAGATCAGTAATAAGTAATGCAAAGTGCAACAGTCAGAGGTGAGTAAGGCAAGTTTTAGGGGTTCAAAGGTTGGGTATAGGTAACGCAGAGTTCAGGAGTAATTAACACAGAGTTCAGAGTTCATAGGTCAGGAGTAAATAATGCAGAGTGCAGAGGTTAGTATTGCACAGTGCAGGGAGTAAGAAACACAGAGTTTGGAGGTCATACTGTATATATGTAACGTAGAGTGCAATGGTCAGGAGTAAGCAACACAGAGTTCAGTAGTATGCAATTAAATATTTAGGAGTCATAGTTCACAGGTCATATGTATGTAACACAGATATGTATGTAATGCAGAGTGCAGGGGTC